ATAAAGAGATTCATCTAATATAATGTGAGGATCTTAATAAATTAATAATTTATTTCTGTATTTAATTAAATTCAATGTTCATAACGGATTCTTCCAACAATATTAATTCTAAGATATAATCATAAATTTCCTTCTTAGTAATGCATTAGTTGTATCTTATCACTACATAAATTTATTATTGTTGGTTTGTTTTCTTTTAATTAAAATAAGCATACATAAAATTTTCAAAATAGTCAAGGTTGCATGGGTCCAAAGTCTTTTTTTTTTTTTTGGTATCCCAAGGTGTCTCCAGGCTTCGTCTGAGATTAATCCTCCGAGGTACTGTCGGACATGAAAGGTGGGAACCTCTCCCAATAAAGTTTTCTGCTTCCACAAGGGCTCGAACTTGAGACCACTTGATTAAACGACCACAGTCCCTTCCACTCAGGCCAACCTTCGTTGGTGGGTCCAAAGTCTTTATATACGTAATAACATATAATTTTTAATCAAACCCATCCCACATGCATGTTCATGGTACCTAACATGTATAGCTTTCCCCTCCTCTTGCTAGGAAAATTAAATAAATTGAAGAAGTATTAACTAATAATTACTGAAAATTAATTAACGGTGGAAGACAAAGCAAAAGGTTGACTAATCTTATCCTTTTCGCTGCACCACCCGCCGGCCGCCACCCTGTCCATTCACTTTTGTAATGGGCCGCCCCCGCCCTAGCTTACCATCATGTGTTTCTTTTTTTCTATTTTAATTTTTCCCACATGTTGACTCTACTCTATTTATATTTGTATATACTATTTGCCTGATCTTGATATTATAATGTGTAAATATTATATGTAAATTAAATTTACTTTGATTTATATTTTATCTTATGTAAATATTGTGTTACAATAGTGTAAATTAACTATTAATTAACTTTAAGAATGTTGTATATAATTATAGGTATTATAATATATTAAATAGGGTCAGCTGCGCTCAACCTGGCGTTTGGGGCAGCCTACTACCTTACCTTCCCTTCACACCATTACATATTGGAATAGGGTCAGTTAATAATATATTGAATAGCTAAATATATAATTTTAGTTTAGTACAATATAGTCTAATTAATTTCAATAAAAAATTAGAAGTAAAAACACTTAAATTTTTTAGCTAAAATTAAATCATTTTGTTATATGTTATATCTATACTATAAAATATTATAAAATAATATTAATGAGACACATTGAAAGTCTCATCCATCCCATGTTATATTTAGGGGCTCACAATTCAACTTTAAAATTTTATAACTATATTTTATACAATATATTTAGAAAATAAAATATAATTATATGTATATAATTTATAAAATTAAGTCATTGTTTTCTATCTTAATATTTTAAATAACCATATTTAGAAAATAAAATATAATCACTTAATAGATTATAAAACTTAATTTATATTTTTATACAAATATATTTATATGTATATAGTTAATGCATATTTATATTTGTATTTATATAATTTATGTGAATAAAAATTAAAAATATATCAATAAATTTAAAATTACACATCAAAATAAACCAATTTTAATATATTCATATCACATGTACACACCAACAACCGGTTGGTTTATTGTGATAAGACATTAGATCAATTAGGTACGGTTAAAGGTTCGAATAATGACGTTTACGAGTGTGATAAAGTAGGTTGGGAGGATTGTTCTGATTAATTGAACCGAAAACCAATGATTATGAAGAAAAAAAAAATTCACAAGTGCACAGTAATATATATACCAAGTAGCAGAAGATGTATTGTTCCTAAAGCAGCTTGCTTTAGTTGCGACGTAAATCTAGTTTTATTAAATATTATTTAAAGTAAAACAAAACAACAACGCAAATGTTAATTAATTATGTATACTCGTAATTTATATTCTTTTTTTGTATACCTTTTCGTTTTTATAATCAGCATTGCTTTACTCTTGGATCTGGTGATTTTCATCAGTGTCTCTGGATGAAAGATAATGTAATCAAAGGCTAATTTTTTTTTTTTATGTGCTGAAGCCAAAGCCTCTTGCCTTTCGGCATATGACCAGGGGAGACGAGATTTAAAAACCCTAAATAGGTTTTTTCCACGGATCATGTGTATAAATCAGTTATATTAGGCGTAAGACGGGGATGAATTGATAATTATAAAGTAATATTTATCTGTTTAGAATTATTCTTAACTATTAACCAAGCATATATTATATAAACACGAGTGTTCAAAACTAAAATTTCTAAAAAAAAATAACATTCTTTTTCATCTCGTTGAGTTTGTGCTGATATTATTTAAGTCAAAAGATGAAAAACAATCATATACCCTGCTTGAATGATTTCAATCGGCTTCAATTCCAAAGCTCTCATATCAAGAAACTAGAGCTTTTTAAATTCATTTTTGGTCAACGATGATATTAAAAAAATGCATGTAGAAGAATAGACCTTCCCTTCTTTGCTCCTGCTGTCCCCTCCACAGGGCACCTATTTTGTTTTCTACCTTTGAACATCAAAAACATCTGAAACAATATCTAGCAAATCCCGATATGTATGTCTTAAACACACTGATTCATCATTATAATATTGTTTTAACTTCCATTTCTCCTTCTTCTTTCCCTGTACTGCTTGCTTACCCAACGAATTAATTAGGGTTTGTGCTTACGTACTTTATAGCCTTGGGCGGGAGTTGCATTTCATGAGCAGTACTGGGTGTGTCTTGGATCCTTCAAAGCACTTTTTTGACCCTAAACTTCTTTTACAAATCTAGAGAGAGAGAGAGAGTTCGTGGTTTAGATCCCGATGAACAGATATCGGTTCCACTGCTGCTCGGTTTCCAATCATAATTTTTGATGATTCCAGGTAGGGTCACTGACAAGACACATGATTCAGTAATATGACAACCCATATCCATATTATAATTTATTTGTAAGGGGATTGATTGAATCACCATCTCGAACAGAATTTGTTTCTCGAGGGAGATGGATTGTATGTGGTAAACAACTGAACATGTCATGCAACCACACAAAAGCCAGCCTCGCTTAACGTGATCTTCAATTTCTGTGGTGATCACTGAACAATATATAATCCAATTATTCCACAAGTACCTGCATGTTCTCCCTCCATGTAATTTTTGTCTAGCAGTGTGCATGATTTTTTGACTCAGTCACCTCTAAACATGCCTCATAAATGAATATTTATTTATCATTCTTTCGTTGGTCGAATCTTAAAATTTATTTATCATTCTTTCAGTGATCGAATCTTAAATTTTTTAGAACATTTAAAAAATTTTAGAATTTTATATCATTACGCTAATTATAGGTTTTTGATATGACTATTGACAAGTCCATTCTACAAGCTAAATCTATTTTTTTAGTCATATCTATTTAATCTATCAATATACAAATAACCATCATTATACTAGACATGACATCAACCTTATCAATCTATAAATAGTCATCATTATATTAGACTTGACACCAACAATATCAACCTACAAATAATCATCGTTATACTAGATTTATTATATAAATCATGATACAAAGTTGGAGAAGGGCCTCTCTCTTTCTCTATTGATCTTTCTATTGTTCATCATCTCTTTCAGCATATTAAACCACCATTTAAGATTTTCCATCCAAATTAGAAAAGATAAATCATCATAAACTATCACACCTCTATTTCTATTATCAATAAATATAGAGATCAACAAAAATGATGGTTTATAATGGGTCACAGAGCCGTCCGAGTGGAATCAGCTATGTAGATACAGTTGGGTATGTAATTCTACATCTTTCACTTCTTTGATGCATATCACCCATGTGTAATGCCACCTAAAATCGCTACTAACAACTTGCAAACCGCTAATATAGATAATAGAATAATGTAGGGTACCCCACCCCACCCTACTTATAAAAATAGTGTGTCCGTTAGGATCTCTTGGCAATGGCACTATACAGGATCTGTACTGGGCGATTTTCATGATTGCACCTTTGTCCTCTCCATTCATGGAAAGCTTGGATTTCTTTCCTAATCACCATCTTAATTTATTCACATCCCATCTGCCTCCTCTTTATGGTATTGTATTCAAGAGTCTTAGCAGCTCTCTTTCATAAACATATATATGCTCTATACTATAATACAATGGTGGTAAATTCTAACAGACTGTCCCCATGTTATAGTTTAAATTCTAAATATATCCCCATATTTTAAATTATTCTAATTGATTTTTTAAAGTATTAGTATTGTATCAATCATGTTATTTTGTCAACTTAGTTGTTTGTTGGGACATTAAAAAATTAGTTTGGATATGAAATAAATCATTTCTAAACATGCGAATCAAATTTTAATCCATGTATTTTAAATATACACCATGCCAAATTCAAGTTTGGATATGAGTTGGGTTGGATCGCGATATAAATTGTTCATATGATAAGTATACACTATCTGAAATTTGATCCATGTATTTTAAATATACACCATGCCAAATTCAAGTTAGTACTTAAAGCCCATGCCGATGTTAGGCTGATAGAAGACGTGTTTGATACATACCAATATTTAAGGTTTCAATTAGAATACTTCAAAATTTATAGATCGATCTAAAATTTGAGTCATAGTCTGAGGTTGTTATTGCGGTTATTAATCCTATAAGAACTAATAAAGTAAAAAGCTTGCGATTGGGTTTTGAAATCCAACGAGGATTAGTTTAATGGTTTGCATAGCTTAGTGATGGGAAAAATAGGGACTTGCAGATAATAGGTAGTATTGACCAGCAATAGCCGCATCTAATCACACAGCTAAGTGGACAGCACCACGTGTGTAGGACCTCCACACACACTCTACTTCCCTCACAATTTCCTCTCCCCCTTAATTTTTCTTTAAGGGAGAGGTTTTTTATTATACGTCATTTCCAATAAGCCTCCAAAAATCTGTTATTTAATCATTTCCCCCTCCCAGCACTTCCCTAGAAACACATTCCAGCTCTGAAAGAGAGAGAGAAAGGGCCAAAGGCTTTTAAATACGAGAGCATGCCCCATAAATTGTACAGCGGTATGCTCCATGCCTCTGTTCTTCTCTTAATTACCATTCTCATTGTCCTCGTTTTAAGCTGATAAGGTTGCTTTTTTAATTCAGTCCAATAGGCTTTGTGATCTCTTACAAGACACTGAGCTGTTTTTTTTTTTCTTTTTGTAGGTTAAACAGCAGTTGAGGACATGTTCTAGGATAACCAAAGACGTTGATCAAATGTCGAGAGGTAACCCTTGCCAGTTGCCGGATTATGATCCGAACGACAACGAAGCCGGTATGAAGATTATCGAGGACCTGACGGAAAATGTTCACCAGATACAGCAGTTGGTGTTGGAGGAGATAATAACACGGAATGCGCATACGGAATATCTTAAGGGCTTCCTTAATGGACAGTGTGACATGCAGGTTTTCAAGAACAAAGTTCCTGTGGTGAATTACGAAGATATCAAGCCTTATATCGAACGAATCGCCAATGGAGATTCGGTGAACATCATTTCCGCCGAACCGATTATCGAGTTGCTCACAAGGTATGTACAACTTCATCTATATGATCATACATATATATACAAGATATATAATGTCATTTTATCTTTCTTTGATGTAGCTCCGGTACTTCGGGTGGGCAGCCGAAGATGATGCCTTCAACTGCAGAAGACCTGAACAGGAAGACATTCTTTTATAATCTGCTTGTGCCTGTGATGAACAAGTGAAGATCTTTTTTTCTTTTGACATATTCTCGTTTTCTCACGAGAAAGATGATGATGGCCTTTTTTTTTGAACTGGTTAAATTGCAGGTATGTAGACGGCTTGGATGAAGGAAAAGCAATGTATCTTTTGTTTGTTAAGCCAGAGACCAAAACTCCCTCTGGTCTAATGGCGAGGCCTGTATTAACAAGCTACTACAAGAGTAGTAATTTCAAGAATCGACCCTTCAACCGCTTCAATGTTTACACCAGCCCTGACGAGACAATCTTATGCTCCGACGGCAAGCAGAGCATGTACTGCCAATTGCTTTGCGGTTTGGTACAACGACAAGAGGTTTTAAGGGTCGGTGCAGTTTTCGCTTCGGCTTTCTTACGGGCCATCAAGTTTTTGGAAGACAATTGGAAAGAGCTCTGCTCCAACATTAGAGCCGGTCATGTCAGTGACTGGATCACTGACCCCAGTTGCAGAAATGTCGTATCGTCGATTCTAGGCGAACCGGATCCGGAATCGGCCAACTTGATCGAACACGAATGCGGAGGTGAATCATGGGAAGGGATAATTAAGAAACTCTGGCCTAGAACAAAATACATTGAAGTCATTGTCACAGGTTCCATGGCACAATATGTTTCGACCCTCGAATTCTACAGTGGAGGGATACCTTTGGTTTCCACAATGTATGCTTCTTCAGAATGTTACTTTGGGATTAATTTCAAACCGCTGAGCAAGCCTTCGGATGTCTCGTACACGCTTATCTCGAATATGGCCTACTTCGAGTTCATACCGGTGAAGAAGAACCATGAAGATGGAACCGTGGATGTACAGTGCAATGGTGTTTGCAAAGAAAATTGCAGTGAAGATGTCGAAACTGTTGATCTCGTTGATGTAAAGCTTGGCCAGTATTATGAACTTGTTGTCACAACTTTTACAGGTTAGTCTTTACTTCTTATATAGCACGCTCCTTTCGTATATAGGATTGTAATTGAATATTCTTTCGGCAGGCCTGTATAGATATCGAGTCGGAGACATTCTAATGGTGTCAGGATTCCACAACAAAGCCCCTCAATTCCGATTTGTGCATCGACGGAACGTTGTTTTAAGCATCGACACAGACAAAACCAACGAGGAGGACCTGTTGAAGGCTGTTACAAAGGCAAAAGTCATAGTAGAGTCGCTTGGCTTCCTGTTGATAGAGTACACGAGCTATGCCGACACTACCTCCATACCAGGTCACTATGTTCTATTCTGGGAGCTCACAATCAAAGGGAGTAACCATCTTCCGGTACTCGATCCTAAGTTAATGGAGCAGTGTTGCTCCGCAGTGGAAGAATCTCTCGATTCCGTTTACAGAAGATGTAGGAGAAAGGACAATTCGATCGGGCCATTAGAGATACGAGTGGTGCAACACGGCACATTTGATGCTCTCATGGATTTCTGCGTGTCTCAAGGATCTTCAGTTAACCAATATAAGACACCAAGATGCATTAAATCAGAGGAGGTCGTCAATATATTAGATTCTAGGGTGGTAGGAAGGTTTTTCAGCCCAAACGCACCTTCTTGGAAGCCTGTTCAGATTGGGGACTGAATGAAGAAAATGAATCTTAAAAATTTCCTGGAATCTGTAAAAGAATTTGTACTGTAGTTCTTTGTCTTTTTTCTTCTTCAGTGTCTGCATGTTTCTGTATTAAAATTAGACATTTAAGCTATGGGACAACTCTATCTCCTTTTGTACGACTTTCTGTCTGGTATAAAATCAAAGATAATTCTTCTTCTAATGCTTGCAAGCTAAAAGAATTAATGGTACACATTGATCCACCATGCACCTCAAAATCATCATGTGGAGGGGGAATAATCAATAATCCCGTTTCGCATCCATTAAAGTAGATGGATCAACTCAACTGCAGCTCTGCTTTCTTAATTGTCGCTATCAAAAACCATCATTTTCCAGCGAGTAAATTCACAAGGGGGAAAAAACATGGTAAGAACATGATGATGCAAGTTGGCGAGATAGGCTGGCTCATTTAAAGTTTCAGTTGACGCATGATTTCCCGTTTTTGTCTCTACTTCCATGTATGTCTAAAAGGTGCATTCCTCATTTCTTATGGAAATCGACTTCCATTATAGGTGGCTTTTTGATTGCGTGGAGGACACTCAAGAAATTCGGGGACAATATGTCTACGGTGCCAGGGATTTACAGCGGGGAGATGAGTCAGAAATGGCGTCGACATATTGGTATTATCATCGTTTTAAAATAAAGATGTAACCCTTTTGTGGGAATGCAGGCAAAGGCCAACATGCAGCCACGACTACGGGGGAGGCGGGGGAACGTTAGGCGGGGATCCATGAACCTTGGACAAGGCGGTAGGGGACAATGAAAACAACACAAGGAGACATGAAAAACTGTAGAAGCAAAAGGGAAGAGTCTGAATGCACAGGCCCCCTCCTGCCCCTGGGGTTCTCTTTGCATTTATGACCAAACATGTGGCCTTAACCACCAGCACCTCCACCCCCGACTTGCTATTGCATACCCTCCTCGTAAATTAGAAAACAAAAGCCAAAGGCAAGGGCGGTACAATCAATGTTCACGAACATTAAACAAACGAACATAAACACCTTTAAAAACAAATAAACGAATACAAACACAATTTTTTTCGTTCAAGTTCAATTCATTTACATTCCAATCTATGTCTATAGGGTGATCGATTGGGATGGTGTGTTTCTTCGTGGCTGAGATTGGCAGTTAGCTAAGAGATGGCAAGATCACCAGGCACACGTGTGTTGGACACATGTTGTGGACATTTTGGGAGAGAAAGACAAGGTCTGTAGCTGTCTTTTTGACCCCAAGCCAGGAGGGTTGAGCGTCATTTTCAATAGGACAGCAAATGCATGGAAGATCGAAATAGAAATGAGATTGGGACCTTTCGCTTGGGGGGATAAGGCAATGTCGCTACCACCATGCGGGGGTGAAAGTGAAAGGACTTGCGATGTGGGACATTGTGCCTTTTCCCAATATCTCAGTTTTAGTAGCTCGGCACTGCCAACACCTACCGTCCCTGCATGTGCATGACGCTGACCCATATCTGGGCAATCAGGAAAGAGGCATTGTTTCAGATTTGTTACTTTTCTCTTTTTGTTTTCATACAGTAAACATGCTAGCAACTAGGGGTGTAATCAAATTCAAATAGTGGCAAGTTTAAGCTTGATTCAAAACACAAGGCTCAATATTCAATTTGAATATGATCAAATATCAAATTTAAAATTTAAGTTCAGTTCAAGATATAATTGAACTACTTGAATTCAAATAGTTTAAGAGCATAAATATCTCATTTAAATCCATGATTGGGAGGTGTTCGTTTCCAAATAATGCCTACCGATCTTGGCATTAGGGTTTGGCCAAAAAATAAATTTAGCATTCCACTTATCCTATAATAATTGAGGTGGAAAAAATAGGTGAAAGGGAGGGTGGAAAAATAGAAGTGGTATTGATACTTATGCCAATGTTTCTCCCAATTGAGTATAGCCTTCGGATAGTCCAAAGATTAAGTATAAATGTTTAAGGTGTAGCTCTTCCTCTTTCTTGTTAGACTCTCCACTCTTTGCATTTAAACTTAATCAATTCCTTACTTTTTTTTCTCCATCGTACTAACCCATCTTACCTCTAATCATCCAACTTCATAAATCAACATGTGAAGTTCATAATTCAAAGAGGGTTAATAAGTCTACGTGTGAAATGATTTTGGAAGAATTCCAAATCCAATAAACAAAAATGGCAGTGCCTTTCTAAGTAGTTATGGATCGAAAGAGCGATCGTCCTCTTGAAAATTTTAAATTTTTATATATATTAGATACTTGTATATATTTTCTATTGATAATCTTTTTTCGCCCTTAAAATTTTATATATTCACTCTTTTAAAATATTAAAAGGTCGTGGGATCGAGTCCCATGGTGGGCATTTCATAATTCGGATGTCTCCTACGGAAGCTACTCTCAACCTAGTGTTGGGGGCAGCCTACTATCTTACCTTCTCCTACCCCATTACATATGGGAACAAGGGACAACCATTTAAAATATTAAAAGTTCGTCCTCTCACATAAAATCTTGTATTTGTTTCTGCTTCTAAATACTTAACTTTAAGCTCTATTTTCACTCATCTAACGATCCTAAACCTTGTATCTCGAATCTAATTCTATTTAAATCTTTTAGTGAAATTTCTAATTTCTTAAAATCACACACAATATAACTCTTAAGTTTATTTTATAGGCAATTGTCATCTTGAACAACATATCTCTCCTTTTTTTTTCTTTCTATTTTATAAACTGTAGATTTTATCCTATAAAGTAATTGGTAAAATATTCCGTTTTGAATAAGAAAAATCCTTATTTATTGGAAAAATAAACATCACAATACAATATTGATTTTATCGAATAAAACTTCTTAAAAGTTAAAATCTTTCGTCGTTAAAAAATTATACTTTAACTCCAAACAATTTATAAATTGATGGAGTTAGACAAAGGCCCTCCTTTGATGTTTGTGAACTTCGATAGCTTGGGTTCAAGGACCAATAATTTCTCAATTTTCTGGATACTTAACTGATATGGAGGCCCAATTTTCTATTGGTAAACACGACAGTTCGACGTTCTTAAATCACATTCAGCTGATGGACATAGACCCACTCATCGAACCGGCAAAACAAACGCTGCTTTCACAGACATCACGCCTACATTTCTTCCACCTTCTTCCTACAAGGATATGCATTCCTGTTATCTGCTTGTGCTTGCTATGATGGACACCCTGGAGTCCGACGCTAGTTGAAGCTGTGGTATTTGGTTGCATTCCTGTTATCATAGCTGATGATATGGTTCTACACTTTACTGACGCTATCCCATGGGAGGATGTCGGAGTGTTTGTTGCCGAAGAATATTTTACTAGGTCGGATATGATTCTCACAAATATATCACCGGAAGTAGTTTTAAGGAAACAGTGGGTTCTCACTAATCCTTCGATTAAACGAGCCATGCTGTTTCCACAACCTGCATTGCTGGGTGGTGCTTTCCATCAAATATCGAAGGGCCTAGCTCGTAAACTGACGCATCAGAAGAGTATCTACTTGAAGGCTGGTGAAAAAAAATTTGAACTGGACAGCAGGAGAAGCTGGGGACTTAAAACCTTTGTGATGCAAGTGTGCTTTGACATTCACTGCAGCAATAGTTATTTTGAACTAAACTATGTTTTACATGATTTTCATTCCAAGGAGAGAACACCAAAAACCAAGTTTTTGCTCATGAACTAATCATGAATATTTATATCAATAGCCAAAAACAATTAGAAAATAGAATCCAAATACTTCTGAGAAATAAACCAAAGTTTGAGAACAGAACAAAATAAGCCAACATGTTAAACAACATGAATTAAAATTGCAAATCAACAGAAGCTCTTCCTAATCGACAGAGAGCTGTCGCCGCTTGTAACGAACCATCACCTTTCCTTTCACACCAACCACCATAGCATTCCAGTCGGTCTCAGGAAAAGGTGACACAAGCTCCAGCTCGAAGTTCCTCAACAAATGGCTCCATATAGCCTTTATCTGAAGGTAAGCAAATGGTTCACCAAGGCAACCATGCCTGCCACCTCCGAAGGAAATATATGAAAAAGCCCCTGCCGCCTTGTCTTCTTCCCTCCCCAACACGGAATCTATCAGGATCGTATGTGTCTGGATCCTTGTAAATGTAAGGAAGCCTGTTTGCAAATGCTGGTGAAGTTGCAACAATATGACCCTTTGGAATGTCATATTCTTTTCCATCTCGGGTTTTTACACTAAAATCAGTGTGTGAGCTGCGTAGAAGCATAATAAGTGGAGGGTGAAGTCTCAGGGCTTCCTTAATGCACCGATACAAGGTGTCCATCTCAGATAAAATATCATGATCAACCTTGCTTCCATGCTTCTGCATTAGTTGTTTCTGCTCCTCGACCACAGCTGATAGGAACTCTTTATGACGAAGGAGATAAGCACCTGTCCAAGTTGAGGTAATGGAACTAGTATGCTGCCCAGCAAAGAGCGCAGCAATGAGCAAGCCAGTTACTTCAGCCTCTGTAGTTGGGCGACCATCTTTGTACTTAGATTCAATGAAACATTGCAACATGTCATTTTCAGACTTGCCAGCACTTTTACGAGAAGAAATGATATTTACAAAGATTTCAGAAAGCTTCTTTCGAGCTCGATCACGACGACGATGAGCAGGGATAGGCAAGTAAGGGAAGATAACACTGATAGGGAGCATGCCGTTGTCAAGATCATGGAAGAGTGCAGACACATCATCAAAAAGCTTATCCCGTACTTCTCGACCCAAGAGACACCTACTAGCCGTCAAGATGATCAAATGCTCCAGCTCATACTTCAAGTCCACCACACCACTATCCCCCCCATTTAGAGAAGTAGTCCTGCCCAATTCCATAATTATTAAACAACAAAATCACAACTACAGAATTACACCATTGATCATATACAACATGGAACCATATATTCAATAACAGAAAATTCTCCTCTAGCATGTCAGACTGAACACCCGAACCAAATGTAGCAAATTATGCACAAGAAACCATCAAGTAATAACATAAGCCTTCCCACTCATCAAGTAAAGGTACACTTTATGCACAAACCAAAACTACTAAAGAAATCTTTTTTTCTATCTCCAAAATAAATTTATTATCATGTGCAGATTATCAACCTTCACATATCTCTTTTCTATCTCCAACTCCACATGATCCACAT